AATACCAACAGCGTTAGGTTGTGTGGCTCGGTGGCAGACTGAAAGTCTACCTCGGAGGAGAGATCAGGGGGTTGATTTTGTATCTACAAACAAGATGAAAATTACAAAAGTGAGCAAATTTACTAGGTATGAACTAATGAAATTATCAGGGGGTCAATTCTGAACCTCCAAGGAAATGAAAATGACAAAAGTGAACGAATTTACTAGAATACTGATTATTTCATTGGTCGACATCTAGTAAATTTGCTCACTTTTATAATTTTCACCTCCTTTGAAGATACAGAATCGATCCTCAGGATATCGATTCTCTTTTATCATGGTGAAAATATGAGCCATATTACATCGCGTGATTCTCTTTCATGGTGCAATTGCGAGTGATCTTACGCGAGTTCGACAAGAAATTTCTTATCAAATGGTAAGATCCGAGAAAAAAAGACTAAGATACAGCGAGAGAGGAACCACAACCGACTGAACCGACTGAATTAACAATTTTAAGGTTAAATATAATTTTGTACAGTCCAAAGACAAAAATAAAATCAAATGGCAATATACATGGTAGCAATTTTGTTACTGGATGAAGAGTTACTGATGAGAGACTTTGAACCACACATATGAGAATTACACGAAGAATGCTTAGAGATATTTATTTTCAACAAGATTGACTTTGTAAATAATGCCAGAGAATCGTCGTAGGCCCAGTTCCACAACTCACGGTTTATTACTTTTAACCACTTTTAATCGAAGTTCGACTTATTCGTCATCTGAATTGGAAAAAAATTAGGAATAAATTCAACTTTATGACCGTGGTCCAATTCATGCAGACAACGCTCATGAACATCGTTTGTTTTTGTTTAACATTTTACAAATAACAAGAATGAAATGATTTTTAACCGTCGTGAGCGTGAATCGGACTGCAGCCTATATTTCACTTCACATTATCACGTTTTTCCTCGTACCAAATTTAATGATTTCGTATTTTCACTTCGTCATTACAGAATTACATAAACAAACTCACGTGATATAAAAGTACGAAAAGTGAGTGATCTCATTCGAATTATAGGGAGAGGGTCGATGTGTCTGTATCTTCAAAGAAGGTGAAAATTACAAAAGTAAGCAAATTTACTAGGTGTTGACCAATAATCAGTATTCTAGTTGAAATAATCAGTATTCTCTCTAATAAATTCTCTTTTATAATTTTCATCTCATTTCAAGATACAGAATCGATTCTAAGGGGTTGATTGTGTATCTTCAAATAAGGTGAAAATTACAAGTGAGCAAATTCACTAGAGTATTCGTAATTTAATTGGTCAAGACCTAGTAATCTTTGCACATTTTTGTAATTTTCATCTCCTTTCAAAATCCACTCTCGACTTCCAGAATCGACCCCAGAACTAGAGGGATCTTCACTACAATAAAAGTGGTGGAGATTCCGATAAATTTTAACTATAACGTGACATTTTCGAATACCAAAAATATGCGTGATGAAAGAAACTGATCAGAGATGTATGAGTATCGATAACTCATGAATCCGTTTAGAAATGAGTCATAAGCATAGAGTATAGAGAATAGAAGACCAAACTAGGTTTTGAAAAGTGTAGTTAAAATCAAAACTCCTCTCATATACGCTTACGCACACACAACCGAACACACATAATCAAAGAATAGAGACATAAAATGACATCTCGATCAAACTAATTTTGATGACCAGTTTAAACCACGCTTTTTGACGGCTTCGTCCATGTAAGTTTGGCCTCCTATTCTCTGTACTCCATGATCATAAGATATCTGGCGTATTTTCTGATACACACATAAACGTTTTATTTTTATTGCAGAAATTCAAATTTGTATAAAATTTCATTTTATTTAATGAAATAATTTTAATCAAATCTTATAGGAATTTTGTACAAATCTTATAAAACCTGATAAAACACGAAAGAATTTATATCCGATATCAATCATGATGCTCGCGATGTCGACAATAGAAAGTGATATAAACTTATAGAAAACTATACAAATTGATAGAAATCTTATTATCGTTCTCTTGTTTTCTATCAACTTTTTTTATCAGGGTTTTGTCCTGTGTTCAGATGAAAAAGTGTACAAGAGAATAGAATGATTAGGAATAGAATGATCACTTTCGATTTGCAAAATCAAACGCAGATTAGGTTTTGTATTTATATTAATTGCTATTAAGAATTAAACGGTTTACTTTATCGCATACCGTATTGCGCTATATCTAATTGTATCCTAATTTCTGTAGTATACTTACCAGATTTCGTATACTTACCAGATCGTGATCGACGAAGCCAACTCGACTATATACGTGCAAGCAGTTGAAGACAGTCAACAGTGCAAGAAATGCTAGCCATGCCCACAGTATATACAGTAGCGCAACTCTCTGTCAGCATCTTTGATGTAGTGTTGGCCAAAATGGAGTGAAATAAATAAGTTAACTAGCGTTGCCACGGTTATCACCTAAACTTCTTTTTCTTTTCATTCTTTTTTTACTCTGTCAAAATTCCTCGCAAAACTCACTAGATTTATTCGCATCGCAATCCAACGAACTCGTTGAAGTGAGTAAGCGCTATTGTAGGAGCATATTAGAGCATGCGACGCAAATAACCTAATATTGCAATGAAATAATTTAAACTTTATGAAAATTAATAAAAATATATTGTAAATATATTGAAAAATAAAGAAAAAATTAGGAAAAATAATTAACTCAAAAATGTATATTCATATAAAGAAATATTACGTAATTATATATTTATGAAAATATTATGAGAAAATGATATAAAAGAAATTTATATACAATATGTCCAAAAAATTAAGTTTAAAATACAATAAATAAAAAGAAATTTTTTTTGCTTGATTTTCTATGTTTCTTTTTGTTCATTTTTTCACCAAAATTAGACCAATCTCTCGAGATTTCTCACACAACATTTCACCAAATGGACAATACACGTAATATTTCCCTCTAAATTCTACTCTGAACCATGTATGCTTGAAAGACAAATATTTGAGTGGACATTGAAACGCTTATTTAAATAGAGAGAGAAAGAGCAATAAAAAAATATTGGCCTATGTATGATTTTCGATCCGCAGGAATTTATTTTCTTATGTTCCTTTGAGCCGAACTTGCAGATGCGCAATTAATACGAGCCAATGACAAACGCTATTCTGGAGCCTTATTGCACGTCCGCAATAACTTTTTTTTTGCCCAATGACTATTTTCGAACAGACTCACTAAACAGCCCCGAGCAGTATACGCGAACACAGTCTAAATATATATAGACACTGAGCGTTAGCATCTTTGATGTAGTGGGTCAGGTTATATGACTCGCCATGTTGTGGGTTGAAAGGCGCTTATAAATTTGAGTTTTTATAAAGCTGCAGAATGATTTTTCTAAAAAAAAAAGACAATTCGGTCTGTTAATGAAAATTGTTTATAGCTAGTATATTTTTAAATCAGAATTATATAATAATATAATGTTAACGAACTCATTATATAAAAATAATATTCACATGATTAATAATAATAATAATATTAAACAGTAATAAGTAAACTAAAAATAATAATTGATTAAATACTATATGAAAATTGTAATTAAATGTGAAGTTATAATTCAATAACACACGCATGCACGCACGCACACACATGCATACTTTATTACGAGAATATTTATTAAATACAAATATAACAGTCTACACAATATAGCGTCTCCGAAAAAATTTGATTTAATTTTTTAGTAAAACCATCGACAAGATACTATTAAAGACCGACATTTTTACGGGAATTGGCGTCCTTGTAAATATTGAAATAATTAAGAGTTAAAAACCGAAAATATTGTACCAATTTTATGACTTATTAGTTTAGTAGATATATTTATGCATTTAGAACTCAATAATACTCGATTTTTCTTTAAAATTGTAATTTCAGCGTCAAAGTTTGATTATTAACAAAGATAATAACTGCAGAGAAAAAATTGTAATTTTTCTACAATATATAGGATATTATAACTTTACAAGTATGCATATTTATTTATGGAACACTTATGTAATAAAAAAATCATGAATTTTATAATGTATGAGTCAAATATTTATGTTAATAGTAGCAAATTTATATCAATTGTCGATAATGTCAGTATTCTTCAATTACCTCTTTGGGAGCCTTTTTATATCGCCGAAAATTTGTCCAGAGTTGACGGTCTTTAATAGTATCTCGTCGGTGTCTTAACATAAATATTTGGCTGA